GGGTCTATATAGTGGCCAAACTATGATCCTATTTCCCCAAAAACCCAGTAAATGAGGAAAGAAATAAAAGACAAACCTCAACTTATGTTCCTTTATAAAGAAAAAAAAAATATTTAGTAAATATACAAACTAATTACCTGATGGCTTAGATAATAAAAAAAAGTTGGAGGAAATTAAAAGGAAAAAAACTTACACAGTGTATGTATATGCATAACCCAAAAAAATTAATAAATGTATCAAAGTATGGAACGGTTCGTCGTTAGCTTGGTACCAGGCATGACGCTTGCGCAAAACATTAATTTCCACCTTACATAAAAAAAATATAATATAATAGTTAACTTAAATATTGTGCATCACCGCACCTATACTACTTCATATATTATAAAAACAGTAAACTTATAATCTTTATAATCTTATAACCCTCTCCAAATTGGGAGGCGATATCTGTTTAACTTTTGGTTAAGACCAAACTACCCAAAAGAAAATTATTAAACCATGAAATTTTATAATTAAGTATAATTCATAGAACTAAATAAAAATATCAAAAATAATAATAATAATAATAATAAATGAAAGATACACAAAGGACTTCAGACACAGAGGTTATTTACTTAAACTCCCAGATTGGAAGAGGTTACTTAATCTCTGCCCCCACACGGGTCTTCTGAGATTGCTTAACTTATAGTTAAGTCTGGTCCATTTAATAATGAATAAATTGAATAAAGTAAAATTATGGCAGTAGCCCTTAATAACTGAAGAATTACAACTTAAACGTGGAAGCAGTCCAAGTGTTCTGCGACCCGAAGAATTACTACATCAGCATTAAGTGCTTAAATTAAGTAAAACTTTAAAATATTAATCAATTAAACGATGTAACATTTGATAATACTTAAGTTATGAGTGAAATGACCCTAGAACATTCTGTGCTCAAAAGTATAAATAATGTTGAGAATACCTTGACAACATTCGGTTGAAAGTGAATGTATAGTTGAACAATGCACACATGAAACTTCAATATAACGTATAAAAAAAAAACCTGATAGTAGGGTGTCTTCTTTCACAGCATTCCCATCTTCCTATCCAGAACGAGAATCATCATTGTAAATCTAGCTACAAGTAAGCTAGGCCGCTAGCATACCAATGTTCTGTGTTCCCTCGATGAAACCGTTGAACTCCGGACGATATAACCCTCTGTGTACAACTGTTGAAATCCTGGGTCAACAATCCCTTGGGTCAAACTGTCGTCGAATCCTGGGCTAACAACCCCCTGGGTTAAACCCTTAAAATATTACAAAGAAAAATGTCAATACACATTGACTCAAGTATCCCGAACTATAGGATTACCCAAAAATGTACATAAACTAGAAAATATTCAGTATCTAGGATAAAGAAAAATTACATTGGCTCAACAGTGAGTCATAAACAGTATTATGAGCTCAAATAATTAAAATTCTGTTACACATGGTTGGTAACATAACCTAATATATACAAAACATACCTTTTTCGTAAAGGGTTAACTTGGTAGCCTTTCAAGGATGAGAACCACGTGAGATGATTCACAGCACAACAATATTCCACACTCCAAATGCTGTGAACGTCCAATTCTTGCGTTAAAATCCTATATTAGATATGGGCTGGACCAATGACCATGGGAATTTACCAATTCACTAAAATTCCCCTCAAAATACGAAATGTCCATTTACCCACAGTTAACCATGAAATAGAATCTAAAATCCCCTTTAATTAGGGTAAGCCGATGGGGCTAAATATTAAGAAAATTCTATTTCGACACAAAAATCGTCTCTCGTGACTGAATACCCACTGACAGAAAAAAACAATACGTCAGCCGTCCAAAATGGCCGAAATCCCTTTCCGATAAATGTCAAGTGGGTTCAGAAATTCATCCTCAAGAATTCCCCACTATATAACTTAACAGACCATTTACGAAAGGTACCCTAAAAACTATATTTATATACAGTTTAACTACATTTGGGAAACTGTTCCCAACAAAAATTAATAAACAGCGATCGCAAAAAAATCCCTCACGACTTAAAATCGCTCATTGTGAAACTACCTTACCTCGGGTTCTGAGCCCGATATTGGAACGTCCCACCAACATGACACTTGTCGGTGTTCTGTCGTCAAATGACGTTTATGTCATTCACTGTCATAATTAATAAACATTAATCCAATTCTGACAGCTATAAACAAAGAAAATCTTAAAGAATGGTATCGTAAATAATTAATTACCCAAAGGTGAGACTATAATACATAATATGTATAAATTTACAACGAAACTTGGTCTATTTTTAGGAGAATCTGGCAAATTAAAACAGCAAATATGACCATTGTACAAAGTATTATACTACCTTTTACTTAGTGGTGAGATGAAATAAATTATAAAATGATGTCCGAAAGTTAGAATACAGGTGAAATTAGTTAATGACCAAAATAATAGTGATATCATCCATACGATTTTACCCTTTTTTTTCGTATGATTAACCAGGTAAGCCAAAACAATTTTATTAATTCGTGGGGCCAAAAATGAACGTTACACTTATATATAAAATATAAGAAAAAGGTGGTCATCCTAAGGACAACTGGATATCTATGCAGAAGCCGTCGTTTATAGAAACTAATTTCTCTACTCGGTCGATATCTTTTATTTCCGTTCTCAAAATATAACAAAAGCGCGGCCACCGTAAGGGTAGCGATATCTCTTTTTAATTATATTTGAAGAATATAAAGAAAAAGGAGTCACCGTGGCGGTAACGTGGATATTTGCGTTTTTTGTTAACTTGACTCGGCGAAAATGAAAAAGCTAATGTCCCCCAGCCCTCAAAAACCCCGGTATTTATACTTAAATTTCCCATATATGCAAATGTATCAGAAAGAGAACGACTGTGAATTCGGTGTATAAAGACTATAAAGCCCTGTATTAATTCCTGAATATAACCCTATCAGTTTACATATGGTTTTTTAGCTATCGGCCGTTACCGTCTACGCGTCGACTTCTTTTCCCAGAAGTAATTAATTTGAATATAATATGTAATATATAAGAATTATTTAAATTAATTATCAAACCCCCGGTTGTCGGATTTCACTGTCTATGAAAACACCCAAGGCGGACTCCTTATTGTCCAGGATCTTTCTATGCGGCCAGCAACTAGGTGAAGGGCTGAATCAGTAGATCTACCTGGGGTGTATGCATGTTGGTTTGGGTGTAGTGGTGTTGTTGTAATCACCGTATCCCTTATGTACCTTTCCAATGTCTTCATGGAAAACGATGTCAGACTAATTGGTCGGTATGTTAAATACCACTTTTACCTCTCTCCATTTTTTTTGGGGATATACCTCAAAGCCAGCAACAAGTGCTTATTTAATTTAATACAAATTATTGATCAAATGTGTATCCATAAAAGCAAGGTGATTATTCAAAAATCATCAAAACTTGAATACAAAAAAAAATTGCTACTTATAGCCAAATAATATCATCACTGATTATTTAAAAATCATCTAAATTGAATACAGAAAATTTGCTACTTATAGGCCAAATAAAAAAAAGTAATCAAGTTATTGAAAGTACTCTATACCAAAATTAATACAAAATTTAATTAATTATCGAAACGTGTTCGCATAAAAAAATTAACAGCAAATGGCGGTGCCATTTATGCCTTAAATGCGCAGTAAATATTTATGCCCGTGGAGAATGTGTCCTGTCCATGTTTATACGGCATCATTTAGTTCCTTGCTTAATATCGGAAGGAAATAAAAAAAATGTGTTCTTAAAATGTACAGCATAAATTGAACAGTAAATTGTACTATTTACCTTTATACAAACAACGCTATTACAATTAGACATTATGAATTTATTACGAACAGGACCTGCTAAACACATGTTTAAACATCAAAATATCTTTGCTTAATTTTAAATTTAACATGTTTAACTAAAACTAAAATTAAATAAAAGTAAAAGTACTTACCACGTTTTATTCAGCAACCATAACCATATTGTTTTGTTCAGTTTTGTTATTGTATCTGTTCGAACGGGTGACAATCCCAAAGTCAGATTTACATTGTACAAATAATTGATTAATTCATGTTTTTCAAATAATTGTAGTATTTATATAAATATATAATTTTAAAACAATACTTACCGTGTATTACTTTTGTTATTAAGCGAAATATATTTGAATTATTCAATTATTCAGTGTACTTTAAATTTAAATATCATTTTATTATTGTAAAACGGACTGATATGCGCGGATGTGTTACGCACTAACCTGTTGATATAACGCGCATATGTTATAAGCCCCCCTGGGTAAACCATAAAAAGTTTTTTATTTTAAACTTACTAAATACCTACCTGATAAAAAAAGTTAGGACAAGCTTGTTAGTAACGATAATGAATTAAATAGAAGAACTATTATTAATATTAAGTAGCAATTGGATTACTAAAGATTCATATAGATGAATATCAAATAGGTATAATTAGAACATAGATGGAAATTTGTTCAGAAAATAATTTAAAAATTAATTGCTACTTACATGGACCAGAGGCGAACACAAACTCAGTAAATTTTTCTACCAGTTCTTTGAAGGAAACTGGCGAGTCGTATTTTTACTATACTTTCATCACACTTTCGACCGCTGATTGTCTCCTTCTACGCTAGCCACTGGTTAAGGACTGACTGCACCTTTTACGTTAAGGGCCCGTTACATTGAAAATATTCAATTAATTAATTGTGTAGTTGTAAAATAAAATAAAGAGAATACAACGTTACAACCTTTGCGTCGACTTTGGATAAAAAAATGTGTAAAAAATCACCTTTACGATATTTTTCCTACGACCACAAAATTCTTCAAAATTATCATTATTAAGAGCAAAAAGAACATTGCCACATGCCCCGAGCTGGGAACGAACCAACCGTACCTAGATTAGTACTTTAGCACCTTAGCCACTCTGATCAGTTTTTATACCCGTTATTAATTTTTTTTAGGTTCAAGCAATCTGAGCCTCGATGCGATAGACGAAGTCCTCAAAAAATCCGTAGATTTGATCGAGAGCCATTTGAACAGCGAAGGTTTGTACAGAAAGTCTGGTTCCACCGAAAAAGCGAATAAGATTCTCAGAAAAATGGCCAAAAGAAAATTATCGGACTTGGACAAGTACAGAAATGACGTATACGATTTGACTGACGCTTTCAAGAGATATATAAAGGAAGGTTGTGATTCTTTGGTAACCAAAGAAATTGTAGAACATGTAAATAAAATATGTGGTGAGTAATTTTAAATGTTAATATGTTGCGTAAAATGAATTTGAGATCATTATTAAAAAAGTAAATATTGTAAATATTTGTTAATAAAAATAAAATTTTCGCAGTCCTATAATAAACTAAATAAATAAGATACTTTTTACAATCGATTCCTTCTTTGACAATCGATTTTTTATATTCGATTAATGTTTTACTAATCATTTTCTTTTTACAATCGATTTATTTTAACATTCGATTATTTTTCACAACCGAATATTTTTTTATTATTTTTGAAGTTGATTTTATTATAATCGGTTCCTTTTTTTACAATTTATTTGTTTTGCAATCGATTTTACGTTTACAATCGATTTTTAGCCATTGATTCTATTATTACAGTTAATTCTCTTTTACAATCGACACTTTTGCAACCAATTCATTTTACAATTGAATAAACAAATAATTTTCAAATACGATATAGATAATTTAAAAAAAGTAATGATTTTAAACAAATATTTGTAATGTTTTTAAAATTTTCGATTTTATTAAAATCGCCTATTTTTTCAATCGAATATTTTTTATTTTTGAAATTGTATCTATTAGTTCAATCGATTCCATTTTTTCAATTTATTTGTTTTAAAATCGATTATATTTTTACAATCGATTTAGTTTTACAATCGATTTTTTTTGCAATTGATTCTAAATAAACAAATAATTTACATATTTATACGATAGAGATAATTTTAAAAAATAATAATTTTTAACAAATATTTTCAAAAATGAATTTACAGTGGATTCTACTTTTAAAACAATTGGTTAATTTTTTTACAATCGAATAATTTTAACATTCGATTCTTTTAATAAAATCGATTATTTTTACAAGCGAATATTTTTTTATTTTAGAAATTGATTCTTTTTTTACAATTATTTTTTTTGCAATCGATTTCTTTTTTACAATCGATTTTTGCCATTGATTTTATTATCACAGTCAATTTATTTTTTACCGATTCTGTTTTACACTCGATTTTTTGCAATTGATTCTAAATAAACAAATAATTTATACAGGGCGTTTCTAAATTCATGCGACAAAATTCAGGAGGTGATTGCTCGGGTATTTCTGTTACATTATAGAGGAGTGAAATTAGCAACCCTTACTTTATTTCATATCAAAACTTTTTCTCGAGATGAAGTTTTATGAAATAAAATTATAACTTGAAATCCTTGTTTTATTTAAAAAAAAATTTATTCTTAATTTTTTTTTCCCAAATCCAATAGCTGCAGGGAAAAAAATAAACAACATAATTTATAATTTTTTTAATAAATTGAGTGGAAAACAGTAAATATGTAAAATGTAATACGATTCATAATAAATGCTGGAAATGACCACCTCTAGCCAAAATACATTTTAGAAAAAAAAATAAAAACTCAATTTTAGTCACCACCTTTTAAAGGTGATATCTCGAAAAGGGATGGGCTGAGGAAATTTTGTTATGGGAAAGACCCATCTTAATTTCATACGAGCAATCACCTCCTGAATTTTTTCGCATGAATTTAGTAACACCCTGTATATACGATAGAGATAATTTTAAAAAATAATAATTTTAAACAAATACTCGTAATGTTTTTAGAATTTTCAAAACTGAATTTACAGTGGATTCTACTTTTAAAACAATTGATTAATTTTTTTATAATCGATTAATTTTAACATTCGATTCTTTTAATAAAATCGATTATTTTTACAAATGAATATTTTTTTTATTTTAGAAATTTTTTACAATTAAGTTATTTTACAATCGATTTTTGCCATTGATTCTATTATTACAGTTAATTTATTTTTTACCGATTCTGTGTTACAATCCATTTTTTGCAATTGATCCTAAATAGACAAATAATTTAAATATACGATCTGGATAATTTTAAAAAATAATTATTTTAAACATATACTCATACTCGTAATGTTATTAGAATTTTCGAAAATAAATTTACAGTGGATCCTACTTTTAAAATAATTAATTTTTTTAAATCGATTTATTTTAGCATTCGATTCTTTTTATAAAATCGATTATTTTTACAACCGAATATTATTTTAATTTAGAAATTGACTATTACTACAATCGATTCTTTTTTACAATTTATTTGTTTTGCAATCGATTATATTTTTACAAGCGATTTCTTTTTGCAATCGATTTTTTGCCATTGACTCTTTAATTACAGTTAATTCCTTTTTATACCGATTCTGTCGACACTTTTGTAACCAGTTCATTTTACAATTGAATCTTCTCTGTTTACAATCGATTTTTTTTGCAATTAATACTAAATAAATAATACATTTACGATAGAGATAATTTTATTAAAATAATAATTTTAAACAAATTCTCGTAATGTTTTTAGAATTTTCGAAAATTAAACTACAGTAGATTTTACTTTTAAACTTTTAAAACAGTTGAGTAATTTTTTTTACAATCGATTTATTTTAGCATTCGATTCTTTTAATAAAATCGAATATTTTTACAACCATTATTTTATTTTAGAAATTGATTCTATTACTACATTTGATTTTTTTACAATTTATTTATTTTGCAATCGATATTTTTACAATAGATTTCTTTTTTATAATCGATTTTTTGTCATTGATTCTATTATTACAGTTAAATCCTTTTTTTACCGATTTTGTTTTACAATCGACACTTTTGTAACCAGTTCATTTTACAATTGAATCTTGTCTTTTTATAATCGATTTTTTTTGCAATTGATTCTAAATAAATAATTTACATATTCGATAGAGATAATTTAAAAAAATAATTTTAAAGAAATACTCGTAATGTTTTTAGAATTTTCGAAAATTAATTTACAATCGATTCTACTTTTAAAACAATCTATTAATTTTTTTACAATCGATTCTTTTTAAAATCGATTATATTTTACAACCGAATGTTTTTTATTGTTTTTAAAATTGTTTCTATTATTACAATTGATTACTTTTTTACAATTTATTTCTTTTTTTACAATTTATTTGTTTTGCAATCAGTTATATTTTTATAATCGATTGTTTTGCCATTAATTCAATTATTACAGTTAATTCCTTTTTTACAATCGACACTTTTTGCAACCAATTCATTTCACACTTTACACTTGAATCCTCTCTTTTTACAATCTATTTTTTTGCAACTGATTCTAAATAAACAAATAATTTCATTCATTTTATTTTCAATAATAATCTTGTCATATGTGCCT